GTTCAAATATTTAAAGGTCGTCTTTTTATGTATTAAATTGAGTGGGTATATTTATCATTCACTATGGGATCATCTTTAATAACAGTATCCAATTTTGCAACAGGGTGATCTCCGACCTCTGAGTTCTTAGTAAAAAAAAAATCAATACCTCTATATGTGAGAAGCCAATAAAACACTGAAATTTTAATGTACGATTTCATTCCACTAGATTATTTTGCATAATTGTTTTTTAAGAATTTTGAACTTTCATTGCATTTTAGGGCTTTTTATCTAACATCAAACAAATGTGTTGGGTGTGGAATGAAAAGGCAGTCCTGCATTGTTATAAATTTTTCTTTTTAAAGAGTGTCCGCGAACCTCGGCAACAACTTTCCGGTATTATGTTTCCATCTGCGGAAAAGCAACAGCCGATGAAAGTGGCGTGATTGGAAAAACAACCTGCTCGCAGCGAACGTCAGCGCAAATCCAGGCGTTGTCACGCGCGGCGGCCGCTTTAATTAAAAAGCCGGATTTGCCACCCGTGCGCGTTCCTGTTTTTCCTCGGCTCCCCATACCAATCAATAAACTGAAAAGTGACAAAAGAGGCTGAGAGATGAAGTCGAGTGTGAGACAGACTGCTTGAAAAGTCATTTGGGCTTATGACATAATCTCAAGTAATTAGATCTCGCCAGAGCCAATAAAGCTTGAGCCGCTAGAGAGGTGCTAAAATTTAATGCGCCTCTCTATCTCTGAATGGCGCCTAAAATTAATCGAAAAAAGGTCCGGCAAAGTGGCCAGTGAGAAAAGAAGTGTGTTGTGCGCCTTTAATGGTGCGGGCCTGTGCTTCAAAGGAACCGTTTCCGACTGCAATTAGACGAGATTTTCTTTGGTGCCGGAGGAGGAAGGCGGAAAAAGATTACAAGAGAAGCGCGGCAGCATTTCAATTTATTTTTCTGTTTCTGCCGCACTGCCGAAAATATCTCCGCCATGTTCCTTCCCTTTCATGTACTTGATACGGCAGCCGCACTTACACTCTCCAGACGGAACAATTGCCGAGATTTTACGCTCGACGATGACGAAAACCTTTCAGGGTGATTACTTGTTTCGCGCGAATTCTTCGAATGCTTTCGCGCAATCACCACTGATTTGTAGAAAGCAAAGGAGGCAAAGATGCTTCATTTTTTTTTCGGCCGCAAGATGCGGTTTAAGAGAATTAAACCGTGTTACGTAACACGGACAGATCTTTGATGGGAACACTTTTGGTAATGAAAATTTTAAAAGAGATACATATATTTATTACTGTAAATATTTTAACCCCAAAATCCAAACAAATAATTGTTGCTCAATCCATGAAATGAAACAGTCAATAATTAATTGTTTGGATTTTGGGGTTACAAAATTTGTGTTACTAGTCATAACATTATTTGACTAAATTTTTAGTATACAGCTTAATATTTAATTGCAGTTTAATTAAGTTTTACATGTTTTTTTACATGTAATTATGTGTGAGACGCAGGATTTTTTTCTTTCTTTCTATTAAATTAAAACATGACTGACAATAAGATTTGATCCTTTTTTTATCCCATATTAAATTTTTTTGTTGATATATTTTTTTTAATTTTTTTTTATTTTAATTAATTTATTTTATTTTAGAAGCTTTTCTAGATGAACCTAAAAGATTTAAAAATATATATGCTTGATTTCCAGTGAACAAAACATTTTTTTTTATAAAATAAAAATTTTTGAAATTTAAAAGAGAAACAAGTTTAAAAAAAAAACTCCAATGCAAAAGTAACAATTTTAACGTTTTTAGCAACAAAAGACACGCATCGTCGGCTCTCTGTGGACCACAGCGAACGGCCAGTTTGGTAGTGGGTTGAGCGCGCGTATTGGCGCAGAAAAAGCCTGACGCACTCCAACACCGCCGCGTGCCCCTTCAACAATCAAGTTAATCCAAGCGGCGCACCTTTGTCGAATGAAACGCTATCGAGCCGCCCGGAAAGCCGCCGAGCTTCTGCACCATTTTGCACAAAAGCAACTCGTTGCCATTTGGCCGCGGCCAGGAATTCGGCGGCGCACTATCTCTAATTGATTTTGCTGCTCTCAGAAAGTCGCTTGCTCTTTCTGTCGGTCTCATTAGCGATTCCCTTTGCCGCGCGCACGTCGGACAAAAAGAAATAGAGAAAAAGGAGCCGCCGCGACGCGCTTGCAAAACAGCATAGCCGGTTTGTTTCCGCTGCGGATTAATCTTTGATGCGCGCGGCCCCTACCTTGCTTGTTATTCCAAATATTTGCGATCCGCGGTGTTTGCACGGCGACTGCTTTTTCCGTCCGATGGAATTCGTGCGTGTTTATTTATTTAGTTCACCAGGAAAACCAGCGTTAAGGCCATTTAAATTCAAAATACACGTACATACTTGTTGCGTCGGCATGATTTTTCCCTTTTTAATATATATACTTGGGTTCTTAGTTTCCTTTAAATTGCATATTCTACATAATGATAAAATTACATAATAGGATACTAAAAATATTTTAAAATGAATGATAATGAGAAACGGGAATGAAAAAGAAATGTAAATTCTCTAAAATGTCATAAATCTAGAATATTTTAATATATTGTTTATTTATTCAAATTTTCCTGAGAAGCAAAGTTAATAATTAAAAACTCCATTCTAAGATTAACGGAAGCTACCCCTTATTGTCTCTACAGAAATTATTTCTAAAAACTAAGTTAGAGAATCTCGCTGGCCTGTTTTTAGTGGTTACTTTTTTATTAATTGTCAAAGTTCTATTAAATTTTAAATTTGAAAATACTTTGACTTGAAAAAAGGCCGTTTTCTAATTTCAGAACAGCAACAAGTCTTTTCTCCGAGGAAGAAATATTTGGCAAGGCGTATGTAAAGGTTTGAAAAAAACTTTTTTCGGTGAAGTAGGAGAATTTATTTTCCACCTCGACAGCCTCTAGCAGTTGCCTCTTAAATGAGTTTTTAATTTCGAAAGTTTTGCATAAATTTATGCCACCAGGGCCAACAGGCCAGCGCCTATTTCCGCATGCTGAAGGCATTGCAGGCGGTTTTGTAAATTTTTCACGGAGTTGCAAACTTGGCGGGCACTGCCTGCTTTTTACGTAAACGCGTCGCTGAACTAAGTTTGGAAGAATTTTATTTTACGGCGGCGGCACACGGCTTGCAGAAGTATATTACGCCCGTCTACACTAGATTAAAGCATTTATCTCTCCGGCGAAAACTCTAAAAGTTTTTGCCAGCTGAAACTCCACTTCGTCGCGAGGATTGAATAATTAGATTCTAATTTGTTTGCCAACTTCGGAGAGCGAGCTGCCTCATTTAAAAGAAAGCCTCTCTCAAAATCTGAAGAAGTGATTTTTAATTTTATTTTCAGTTTAAGTGCCCTTTTAAAAGATGCAATCTAGCTCAAAGTCGTTTTTTAGTTATGCTCTTTTAGAATGGGCTGCGTGAGATTAAGCGAGCTTTGATGTTGATAACTTTGTTATAATTATACTCTTGGAATTAGATTCACGTCAAGATTAAGAACAAGTTAGAGTAAATGGCTATGATTAATAGGTGGTGTGATTATAATCGCAGTTGCAAGGCTAAGTCGGTGTAGTTTTAAATTAAATAGATGGTTGTCTGCTTCCTTGGAAATACAATACTTCTAACTTTTAGTTATAAATTTTGATGCAGAATATTGAATAAATTATGAGGCTGATGCAAAATAAAAATTAAAAAATCTGAATATCATCTGTAGTATACAATCAGCCATCAAATGAGTCTTTATAAATAAATAATTTTGGAATTTAATAATAATACCTGAACCTGAATGGAGAATAAATAAATAAATAATAGTACAATTATTATTTATACACGATTGTTCAAATTTTAAATATTATATTAATGTCATGAATATGTTTAAAAAACAATTGGTAACTGAGCTCAAACTCCTATTTCAAATGATAATTAATTCTGTTTTCAAGAATTGCACCGTGTTTTGTTTTTGTCGAAACCGCGTTTGCAAGTTAAGCTGGCGTATGCTAATTAACCGCTCGACGCAGTTAATACAAACACACACAAAGTCAATGAATGCACATGCGATTATTCCGAAAGGATTAACGCAAAGTTTATCCGCGGTGCCTGGGGCAGGCTGGCCGGTTGCCTACCTGCCAGCGTCTGCTTTTGCAAGTCATAAAGCTTATTTAACTGCAGGCTTTGTCGTGGGTGGTAAGGTGTGAAACTTGCGGGCTAATCCTCTTAACGGAGCGACGACGACCGTCGCAAGAAGCAGGTAAACAAACTAACCGCAGCCTCTAAGACGCATTTTTCCGAGTGCCCGGCCGGCTAAACCCCGTCCAACGGCAAACATCCAGCAGCAGCAGCCACGACAAATATTAACACAGGACAATGGCGGCGCGTGTGTAATTGGAACGCCGGCCTTAATTGCAAACACGCAAATATCATTACTGGCGACACGAATTTTTGTTTGTCGCTCGACGGCGTCACACACTTCGCACCTGGCTCATGCACAAGTGCCAACAGCCCGCACAATTTATGGCTCTCTCTTCATCCGCGCCTCGGATTTATGGTGACGCGGCGAGAGCGTGCGAAAAATCTATTTTTGGCTCCGCGTTCAAAAACGGTTGGCTTCGTTTCAGTGCGGTTTCCAAATGGCTCTTTGCCGCCGGATTAAATAATGAGCCTTCCAGTCTAAAATATGTATTTTTAGGATTTTGAAAAATTGTGCTTTTTGTCCTGACTGGATGGCCCGTTTATTTTCAGATATTTTTTATTCACTCCATAGGACTGCTAAAATTAACAAGGAAGCGTATTCAGTATCCAATTAAGAAACAGTTCTTCCAAATTCCAAAGTATTATTATGTGTAATTCATATGCAAATTCCGAGCCGTAAAAATTAGATACCCCATGAAAAAAAACGAAGAAAATAAGAAGAAATTCAAGTAAAAATAAAGTAAATGAAAAATATAAAAAATTAAAAAATTTTGTACTTACAGATGACGGTGAGGTTGACTAGCGAGTTCCTGGTTGGTGACTTCTTGAAGTCCACCCTGCACCTGTACTGACCCTGGTCGTTCTCCTTGACGTCCTCGATGGTCAGCCTGGCGGGTTCTTCATTCATGCGGAAGTAGGCGCGGCCCTGAAGTTTCTGCTCGTCCGACCAGTGTTTGCCGTCGTCGGGCGTTTGCATTTTCCTCAAGTCCAAACTGAAAGCGGAAGCAATCCCGGTTAATTTGACGCACAGAGGAAGAAAATCGGCCGGGCGGAAAATGGCGCAGATTTCCTCTTGCAATTAAAATAAGTTGAGCATAAATCGCGCATGGCCGAAATTAATGGTCCGCTGCACTCTGCCGCCAACCCTTTGGTGGCCCTCTAATTAGCCGGCAGGTAAGAAAGACGATACGGGGGTGTGAGCCGGAGAGGGAGCGAGAAGCAAGGCGGCGCAGCATCAACCGGCATCAAGTCTTATCGCCCATTGTTTACTGCGCCAACTATTGTTCCCTACAATGGGTTTACTTTGCGGAGGAGCGCGCACCGAGAGATGATTACATACACTTTCCATCATCACCAGCATCAGCCTAAGTTGGCCCTGCCGTTAGTCTAATGTGTTGTGCACAGTAAGCAATGATGATGGTTTGCCAAAGCTCTATTTATTTAATCTCATTTTTAAATTGCTGTGAGAAAAACAATGAAACTTTTGTTTGATTGTATTTAAAATTTCTCCAATTTTAAATATTAAAATATAATTAAAAAATTTTAAATTACCAACAGCATTATTTAAATTTTTATTTTAAAAATGTTTTATTTCCATTTTTTAATTAATTTTTTCACAGAAAAAGTATTTTTAAATCAATTTTTAATCTATAATTAAAATATTTTTCTTTAATTTCAATATTGATTATTTAATTGATAAACAAGTCTTTAAGAACAACTTTCGATATTGTTTAATCATCGTTGCTGAAAATGGTTTGTTTGTGTAATACTATATTTTACTTTATATATATGTAAAGTCAAAATTATTAATCTCCTTTTTTTTAATAATAAAAATAGTCTCCGAAATAAATCTTACTACTAAGATTTGAAGTTGGAGTAAAAAGACTCCGCCCTTCAGACCAAACATTTCAAGAAGCAGCAAGTTGGTCAACTCCAAGTTGCCCGTCCATGGCTTCTTGCCCATAACGTATTTGGTAACCACCATCTTATACCTCCCTCGGGTTGGCTGGTTAGTTAGTTAGTTCTCAATGCGCCATTATGCTTCCGCAGCTAGTGCAAATTCGTGCTAGCTCGTAACATTATTCGGGAATCGGAGGCGGGGGAGGAGCAGGAAAATGCCGCCGTCATTATTAATTCTTTGGCGGGGGATTAATAGTCTTAAGAAAAGTGATGCCCAAAGTTTGCACTTCTTCTTCGGCGGCAAGTTGTGCCGCGCCACACTTTATTATTATTATGAGAAACCGGCGGGCGACTGAAGAATGGGGGAAAAGTGGCGGCGTATGCCTGCAACTTTGGACCAGAAGGAAATTCTTGGCGCGATAACGCCGAATGTGGCAAATTTCGCCGTTGAAAGGAGCAGGCGTAAATCATTTCCTTATCAGAATAACATGAGCTCGCGAAAGATTGGGAATTCTACTGTTTTGTTGCAAAAGTATTTCTGATTTAGAAGGCAAAGGATAATATTTTGAGAAATTCTATTTTACTTTTAATTTAGAGGAAGAATCAAAGTCTTAATTTTTAATTCATTAGAATTTTAAAATACCGTTTAATTAATTTAAATCTTGTCATTATAAATTTTGCGAATAAATTTGTACTGATAAGAAAAGGAAGAAACTTCTGATAATTGTGCATCTTGCCATTGTCGGTTAAAAAGATACGATGGCAATTAAGCTAGGTAAGAGTTTGTTCAAAAGTTTACCTATAGATTGGCGAATCCTTGGTGCCCGAGTACCATATTATTAATTGAACTTTGTCGCCAGGTGCTGGCAAGCTCAGATCACAGGGAAGTTTCGCGATGCCTCCGGCAACAGCCAACGCCTCCGACACTTTTCCTGTAACATAAAACGACGCTAATTAGTTCAATCTGCAAACAAACGAGGAGCAGCGATCCAAAGTCAAAAGTTGTTCCTCGAACGAGAGCGAAACTCCATATATCGCAGCCGATCATTTTGACTAAGAAAATTTTGTTCCGCTCTGGTGCTCTGTGATTTTGGTCAATTACAGAGAGGGAGAGCGAACAACCAAACCCATCCAATTTCACCGCAGTTTTATGATGAAAAGTCCCAGCGGCGGCGGCAAATTAGGCATATAGAATGTCAAAAGGGCTGCAACACGCGTTTCCGAACCGCACCATAAAACTTTTTTCCTCTTTATTTGCGCGCGAGCGTAATTTCGGCTCATTCCGAGTAGAACGAGAGCCGGGCGCGGCACCGGGGAACAAGTGGAGTATCGATCAGTCCGCCACAACTCTCTCTGACGCAGTACAAATTATTCTGGCGGCTTTATTTGCCGTTTTAGGTAAGCTCGCCAACATAAATATGAATCAAGGAAATAGTGATTTATTCGCTCTTTCCGGCAGCAACCAATAATAATTGCTACAACATCTTAACCCTAAGGGTGCGCATGACACTTCATATTTCAACACATGTTTCAAGTTTAGAGTTGTGAACACTGAAAATACCGATACAAGATCAATGTTAAATTTAATTTCCAGTTGGCCCAAAGTTTTACTTTAGTAGAAGCATAAAAAATATTCATTTCTTTATAGACAGGGAAAATTGTTGATTTTTTTTTTTTAAATTTAAATTTCCAGACTGTTTTGGTTTTATTTTAATTCTGTATGCTTTCTAAACCTAGCCAATGAACAAAAAAATCGTTTCTAAACTATTTGTTAAAAAGAATAAGTTATAACAGTTAATTGCAAATTGCTAATTATTTAAGACTTCTTGATTGCAAATACACGGAATTTGATTAGTCTCTGTGCCGAGGTTTGCAGCAAATTACAATTAGCTCTTTGATATCAGCCTGTTTGAAGAGAGAGCGAACGAGCGCACTTCATCCGCCCAACTGGTTCTTTTTGCAAGGGAAAGAGTTCGACCGTTCGGAAAAAGGGGCAAAAAGCAACAACTGACTGCTGCTTCCAAAGCAATGCCACTGGGTGCAGTGGGATTTGCACAGGAATTTTCTGCTTTGCTAGCGCACGGTGCAAATTGAAAAGTTGGCTCTTTTACTGCAAGACCAGGGGGGTAATTAAATTTTCAACGAATGTGCATTAATTTTAAACCATTTCTACGGTTTTCTCTACAAAGCTCTTTTTACGATAAAATGACACAACAGCTTTTAAAGAACTAAGTTTTTGCTCTCCCTCTTTTCTTGAATAATTTCAATTGAAAAAGAAACCCTCTAATAAAAATACAATCTAATGAGTATTACTGGTAGTAATTCACGGAGCCTGAGTGCACGTTCATTAGTAAAACAACCAAAAGTACTTTACTCTCCAACCACGCTGCGATAATTAGTGCGATTTACAGGATTTAGAGTAAAGCACACGTACGCGTTTCAAAACGCGCTTGTTTTGTTACTTTATCAACGCTTGGTAAAATTTCCACCAAGTGCGCTGCAAATAATTTTTTCATTGTTACCTCCACCCATGTCCACCAGGGAAAAATTCAGAAAGAGAACCGAGTTAATTTATTGAAAACTTCAATAGAGTTCTTATCAGTATATTATTTGGGAAGATTATTTAAAAAGAAATTAAAAATAGTAACTATGCTAGAATGAAATTTAAACGTATTTTTTTTTTGTAAATACGAGATTGAAATCACCCAAATACAATTCCCCACTGCATGAATATTAAAGGCACGGAGGAAGGAAAGAATAACTTGTGATAATCTTTGTTTAAACATGTTTTGCGTGCCAGAGTATCAGTGCCAATTAGAATTGCGTGTCTCGGCTGGCGAAAGGCATGCGACCCGGTTAAGTACACACAAAAATGTGCGATAGCATCGAGCGTCGTAAATAGTCTGAGCATAATACAACGCAGTGAAGCCGGTTGCGTTCATTATCTCATTAAGGGGCAGCGCAACATTTGCAACACCCGAACACAGTTTTCATTTTGCATGGGTTGTTATACTCTTGGCCAAAATAAATAAATCAATTTCAGATCCACACGCGCCGAATGATCGATGAGTGCATACGTCGTAATAAATTTCCAGCCGGCAGCCGCGGCGGCGTCGGCAGCGGCAACCACTTATTCTTCATCATCTTTTTTGCTTATTCCGTCGACGGTGCTATTGATTGCGTCTCTAGCTCTCTCTTTCCTTTCTCTCTCTCCTTTTCTCGTATTTTGAAATATACACATTTTTATTCCGCCGAGCAGTCGTGTGGAAACATTTTCGCAAATCCATCTTCAATGCCTACTGGTCTGGATTAACATAATTTGGCTTGGTGTATAATGATGACACGGTGCTCTTTGTGTGTGTGTGTTTGGTTGTGTTTATCCATTTATGCATTTTCATTTCGTTACCTGCCAATTTAATTTTCCGTTTGTGCGCACACCGACTTTCTCGCTAATTTGACCGACTAATGAAATAAGCCGGCTGCTTTTGCTGACAGAGGCCGCTCTGACGAGTTGAAAAATTCCCAACCTTTGTTCCGCGCAGGAAATAATTTGTTTTACTTTCCGCAAAAAGCTATTCCGGACCGACGCTGCGCGTCTCTTAAAAACGTAAAATCCTCATTTTTAAGCCGGTGCCTTCATGAAAGTATTAACTTTATGGAATACTCAATTCAAGTGAGGGCCTTATAAAAGAGAGCTACTAGCGCGAGAGAGAGCGAAAAGCACCACTTTATTTTTTCTGCGAACAAAATCAAGAGCGGAAAAGACGAGCCACATTTTACCCAAAAATAAAATGACCAGATAATTCTTAAAAATTTGAAATTTTACCATATCAAAGACTTAAAACATTTACAGCCAAAAATATTTTTAAGGTGAGAAAATAAATAACAAAAAATACAATATTCTTTTTCCGTGTGGCTTTTTATGTTAAGTAATTTGAAGTAATTTTAATTAATTGAGAATAATAATATAAAACGGCACACAAATTTAGCAATTTTATAAATTTTATAACAAGGTATGGTGGCTAAGTGGGTTTATTTATTTATCTGTAGGCAATTACTGCCCAAATCGACTATGCTTTCATTCAAGAATTACCACAATAGATCATAAAAAAAAGAAAAATAAAGTTGAAAACCAATTAAAAATTAATTTTACATAAATATCAAAATCAATAATTTATAAAAAAAGAACAATAAATATTTTGAGTTTACCATAATTTATAAATGCATTTTAGTGAAATCTGAAAATAATATAATTCAATTCAAACTATTGCTAAAAAAACCCATAAATTTCAGCTTCATTCTGGCGACCCGCTGCACTCCTTTGAGTTTCGTTCTTTTAGCGTGAGCCGCCTTAAGAATGAGTTCTCTCTGGCTCCAAACATGAAAATTCGCAGATTAAGATCGTAAAAGCGGAGAACCGGGGCCAATAACGAGAGGCGTTGCACGCACCATATTCGCTGCGAAAAATCGTGGCCAAAAAAAGCACGTCGGGCGCTGCTTCTCCCGGTTTTTCATTTTCTAGCCTCTCGCCAGCGGTGATTGATTCAATTGCGACTGCCGAGGGTTGGAGGGCAACAATTTTTCCAGCAGTGGCGCCCTATGTATGTGACCCCATGCCGACACCCAAACGTTTATTTCTTCTTTCCCGGCTAGCAGCGTGGAGTCGAGCCAACGTTAATGTGTCCAATAAAACAAAAAGGGCGAACCGACCGAGAGAGAGAGAGCGAGCGAGCAAGCGAGTAAATAATTGAAATCCACGAAAAATTGCAGCGAGTGGAAGCAGGGAATGGGAAATATTTCAATGGGCATGCGGCTGGCCGGTCATTACTGCACATTGTGCTCGCTGCGGCTGTTAATTCATATTGGCATGAAAAGGCGGCGCCGTGCACCCCATTGATAGATGACTGTGTAATAATCCATCATGGCCACTCCATTATGCTCAGCCTAATTGATTACTCTAATTATTTACCCCGAGCCTACGCGTATAATGAAAAGGTGCATTGTTTGGCCGAAAATTCGGTCGATTCGGCCAGCGTCGCCAATTTTCGGCACAATTCCTCTGATGATAAGTGAAAGTGGGCGGCAAGAAGAGCCGGTGATGAATTACAGACGTCATTAGGGGATTTGCAGCAGGCGGCCTGGCGGCAGCGCGAGTGAAATCCGCGGCAATTCTGCAGCAGCGCCCCGAGCTGCTCTTGCTGGGATAATCAACACACGCAAAAGCCGCCCCGTTGGCTGCTGCTTTATCTCGCGCAATTTGAATGGCGAGACTGCCAAAATTAACCCGTGTTGCCGACTGAAGGCCGCTTGTTGATGAGAGAAGATGCTTGATTTCGTGGCAAGATCGACAACAATGAAACCTGGCTTAATGCAGTTAATTTCATTAAAAACTTTAGATAATTTACTCATAAAAAATGTTTTCTACAGTCGAATAATAATTATCAAAAGTGAGTTCTTTGTCTTATTTTGTGCTATTCAAGAATTATCTTTTTTTAAATTAATTGCAAATAAATATTTATTAATTTTTAACAGGAGTCAGGTCAAGTCTTGACGGCTTGTGTTCTTTATTAATTATGCAGAAGACACCAACCATTTTTCCACATTAAATATTTTCTTTCAGAACTCCACGTTTAAATAAAATTTTATAATTGTAATTAAAGTAAGATCTCAGAATTTTTGAATAATCAAATTGCATTAAATTTCAGTTCTTGAATCATAATTCTTCTTCTTTTTTCCTTTCAATTTAATAAGGGAAAAGGAATCAGAAATATTAATATTCTTAGTTCTTTGCTTCATTAAATTTTCACAGCTCATCACATTTAATTCTCATTTTGATAATTGTGAAAAATGAAAACAGTGTAAAAGCCAGAATCTCTGATGTGACTAATTATAATAACTAAAGAAATGAATATTATTGCCCGTTGAGGAAAAT